CCCCCAACTGGCCCCCCTGCTGGTCTGCTTACCCCCAACGGCCCTGCCCCCCACCAGCCTGATCACCTACAACTGCCCTCCCCTCTTGACCTTTAACTGCCTCTACCTCAGCCCCGCCACCATGGCTTTGTCCAGAAGAATGTCTGGAAGGTCTCCCAGTCTAATTAGTATATTACCCTTTTATTAGTATAGATAGAGGCCTGGTGCACTGGTGGGGGCCGGTTGGTTTGCCCTGAAGGGTGTCCCGGATCAGGGTTGAGGTTCCCTTGGGGCATGGGGCGGCCTGGGCGAGGGGCCTGTGGTGGTTTGCAGGCTGGCCACGCCCCTATGGGGTGAGGGTCCCCGCTGGGGGGCGTGGCCAGCCTGGGTGAGGAGCTGAGGGTTGTTTTCAAGCTGTCCACACCCCCTTCAGAGTGGGGGTCCCCGCTGGGGTGCCTGGCCAGCCTGGGTGAGGGGCTGATGGCTGTTTGCAGGCTGGCCAAGCCCCCCAGCGAGGACTCGCACCCCATGAGGGTGTGGCCAGCCTAGGTGAGGGGCTGAGGGCTGTTTTCAAGCTGGCCACACCCCCTTCAGGATGGGGGGTCCCGCTGGGGTGCCTGGCCAGCCTGGGTGAGGGGCTGAAGGCTGTTTTCAGGCTGGCCACACCCCCTTCAGGATGGGGGTCCCCCTGGGGTGCCGGGCCAGCCTTGGTGAGAGGCTGATGGCTGTTTGCAGGCTGGTCACAACCCCTTCAGGGAGGGGGTCCCCACTGGGGTGCCTGGCCAGCCTGGGTGAAGGGCTGATGGCTGTTTGGAGGCTGGCCACGGCCCTGGGCAACCCAGGCTCCCAGCCCCTCCTTGAGCAGAGGCCACAGCGGCTGGAAGCAGGTATCTGGGATTTATTTGTCTTCTATAATTGAAACTTTGTAACCTTGAGCGGAGCCCACAGCCGGCCAGGGCAGGCGGGAAGCTTGGCTTCCCCCATCACCAGGGGCCACCCGAGCCTTCTGCTTGCTCCAGCTCCGTGGCCACCGCCATCTTGGTTGGGTTTATTTGCATACTTGATCCTGATTGGCTGGGGGGCATAGCTTGTGAGTGTAGTGGAGGTATGGTCAATTTGCATGTTTCTCTTTTATTAGATAAGATTACTAATCTTAGGCACGCATGCAAAGTGTATAAAGCATGAGAACAGTTTAGAGAATTATTATAAAGTGGGGCACCCTGTGGCTACTACCAACATAGAACATTGTAGGTTCCTTAGATACCTTTCCCTCTACGTACCCCCCACCCCCCCATTCTTACCCCTGAGGCCTCCCATCCTTGAAACAGACCACTTTCAACATAAAAGCATTTGAATTTTGGTCAACATGACTGTCTCACATGGGTGGGGAGTGATTAGTGGTCAGCAGTGGTGACTGGCTGGGTTTAACCCCCACCCACTCCCCACCCTGAGCACCACTGTCTTCTGATCTTAGACCTCCAAGCTGGCTGCAGATCAGTGTTCTTCCTACTGCACTGTCCCCTAGTGGCACTGATGACATAGTAAGGCTACACTGGTTGAGGGGGTAACATTTCAAGAACTAGAGCTGCTTCACAAGTGAGAATATCATAATAGAAAATGATGGCTCCACACAGTTCCTTTTCCACTGAACTATCCTTAGGAATCTAATTTGGGATTTCAGCCTTGGTTATTATCCGAGGTGCAGGGGGATGTTTTGAAACGTTTATTCCTTAAAGGGAATTAGCTTCCTGCCCAAGGCTTCTCTTCCGAATGTGTCACTGGTTACAAAATCAGTTCTCAAGAATTACATGCTGCATTTGGGACTCTGTCAGATGATCCCAATTAGGGGTTCTGTGTTTTTGAAAGAGGAGGGAAATTCTCTGTAGGATCAACAAAGTGCTGAACGTGTGCCAGGCATTATTCTAAAAAGCTTAATGCGTATTAACTCATTCCCATTTTGCAGGTGAGGAAACAGGTGCATCGAGGTCCAGCAGCTTGCCTGTGGCCCCGAGAGAGAGGCAGCCGAGCTGCTCGGCCTCTCCATCCTCTTCCTGTGAGCACAGTCCAGTTGTTGCATTGCGCTGCTTGTTCGAAGCCTTCTTGGTTGCCGCTCATGGGCAGTGTATCTGACCGCACTTTCGGGGACTCTGAGAGGTGAAAGCACAGCCTTGATATCGGTGCTTTATTGTCCGTTTGTGCTCCTTTAGCATCCGTGTGAGTGACTGTACTAAGTGACAGAGGGTGAAACACCTGCTGTGTTTTCCTCTGCAGGTGCTGTTGTAGGGGAGAACCCGGCAGGGCAGGTAACAGAGCCCAGTGTTCTTACTGCAACCAGCCAGACAGCTGCCTGGACCCACCAGGAGAACGCTTCAGAGTCGAGTTCCGGAGGCTCCCCCAAACACTTGCAAGGCTGGAGTTTTACTCCCCATCAAGGATGCTCCTCTTCAAAGGAGCATGGAAAACTAGGTACCAAAAGTGTACCCTTGTCTCGTGTGAATCACTGCTTGCTTAATTAACACGTTGTGGAGCAGTAGTTTTATTGTTAGCTTTACCCACTGGCCAGATAAGGTCCTATTGAACGAGTACAGAAAACGTTTACATAAATGTTAAAGGCCCGCTTTAAAATTAAATACCCATTACATTTTGAAGTTATTTATTACATGTTCTTACAAGCTAATATCTTTTTAAAGTATGATACTTTGTAAAACACTGTGTAACATTAAGCGAGAATTCTCGTGATCCGTCTGCAACGTGTTAAGTGTGCACGAAAGCTTCATGTAAGGAAGGATTGGGGGGATGGGACAGGAAGAGGGAAGTGGGCAGTGATTAAAACTGCAGAATTTTTGGTTTGGTTTTGTTTCTTAGTAGTTTGGGTTTCATTTTGTTTTGTTTTTTGGGGGGAAATTTTCTACAAAATGAGAATAGCAGGGTCGAGGACACATCCTTTTGATCTTCAGTAATGGTACAAGGGCAGCTGTAGAAATCGAGCCTTCTGCAAAGTCCAAGTTCAGTGCCTTTTTTCCAAATAAACTTTCTAGGGGAGTTGGCGTGTGCCGGGGAAGATAGCTGGCTGGCGTGTAGGGGTGTGGATGAGGCCATGGACGGTTTCTGTCCCTCGTGCTCCCCTCTTCCAGTTTGCTTTTTAGAGTTTTGTCCTTTTGCAAGTAAAGTGGTTGATCCAGTAGCTCTTGGGGAAAGTTGTTTGTTATGAGGCTGGTAGTCGCAAAAGAGCAGTGTTTAGGATCTGTTGAAAGAGATTGCAAGACCAAATGAGGTCCTTGCGTTGAATCATTTCCTTAAAAAAAGTTGTTAATTTGTGCAAGAGAGGCGAGTCCTGTATAGTCCTCATCTGGCCTGGCTTCTGAAAAGCTTGCCAGGTGACACATGCTGCTGCCAACCCCTTGGTTCCCCTGAGTGCACAGTTTAGTTACCTGCAGTATAAAGCTTTAATGCATAGGATCCATAATATTCTAACACTGTTCAGTTGCTTTCATATTATTAGAGATGTAGTAGGGTTTATGCTTATTAAAATGAGATTTATTATTATGGTTCCTCCCTCACTCTTCCCCTCCCTCCCCCTCCTTACTCTTTTTTTTTTTTTTTTCTTTTCCCAGCCATCAAGCTTGGAACTAATTATAATCATATTTGAGAAATGAGTGTGTCTGGTTTACTGTTAAATCTGTATTCTTATAACTATTTTTTTTAACCTTTCACTTTATATTAGTTTGTTCTGTTCATTTAACCAATCTTTATAGATCACCCTGAGGATGTTAGGTGCTGGGTAGATCTCTGAGAAAGGACATCATGACCCGTGTCCTCATGGGAACCAGGATGCATGAGTAATGCAAACTGGAAAGTGTCATGAAGATCAAGTCCAGAGGCTTAGGAGCATGTAGGAGGCTGGAGAAGGCTTCCTAGAAGTGATGTAGAGCTGAGATCTTAAGGATGAGGAGGACTACCAAGCAGAATTCATAGCTTATATGAAATTTCCTACACGATGGAGCTGGATTCTGAGGTCTTTGGGCAGCACATTATGTGAGCGTCACCTGCTGCTTTCCTCCATTATGAGAAAAGAACTTTAACTGGGGCTAAATAATTCTCCCTAGGTCATGAGTTTGTTTTTGGCAAGAGCAGAGTTAAAACTTACAGTAGCAGTTGCTGTGGGTGAAATCCAACTTTTTCCCCTGTAAAGTGTTTGCTTACCTCACAGGGCTGATGTGGGGACCAATAAGATGGTGAATGTGAAGGTACTGTGTACCCCAGAAGCCCGATCAGTGCAAGGCGGTCTTATCTTCCAAGCTCTTGTTCCTGCTGTGGTGTTAACGGCTGCTCTCCCCTTGGGCCAAGGTGCTGACACTGACATTCATCGGGAAGCATCACTTAGGGTGCAGTTTCGAAGAGGGACATTTTCTAAGCAGAACACTCAAGATTCTAGGATGACTGAATATTCAGCAGCTTCCCTTGTGCTCCCATAAATACAGTGGCAGAATGTGGTCTTTCTTTGACAAGGGAGAGCCAGGTGCTCAGAGCAGCTGGGACTGAGGGATGCCCGTGCTGTCATTTCGCCGTGAGGAGAGCGATGCTGAAACATCCAGGACCGAGGGCCGTGCGCAGGTGCAGTCTGGGGGCCTTCTCCCTTGTGCCTGCTCAGTGCTGTTAGGCATGCATGTGCCTTCTCCCCCAGATCTCTGGACCGTATTTCCAGCTCACTTTGTCTCTCTCCCAGCTGCAGGGCACATCTGTGTGCCCCTTGGAGACAGGAAGGGGCTCCTGAAGTCAGTGTTCACGCCTGGCTGAACTCTTAATGAGGCCCTCCATGGCATTGCAGGGATAAGCAAGGGGCAGGAGGACCGAGGCCCCAGTTCTTGTCTGCCCTGCTGGGCAGATCACCCATTGGCCCTGGGCTTCATTGTCTGTGGACATGTCCGTAAAAGCAGAGTCCAAGGCTGAAGACTACCCCGTTAGACTCTGTCAGTAGTTACTCCTTCCAGGCTGCTGAAGGAATGCAGGTCGCCAGGTTGATCTCAGACCTAATAAAGTTGCTGCCCTCCTACTCTGGGTGATCGGGAGGCCAGGGGAAGAGAAGTGCACAAAGCAGCCTCTTTCTTAGGGACGTGAGCAGGAACAGAAGCTGTTGTGCTTCTGAGCTACTTTCCCAGCATTGGGACAAGGCAAGGGATTAGTGACTGATGACCTTGATTTGGACAACAGGTGCCTCAGAAACCCAGCCCGAACCCTGACGTGCTGCAGCTGCTAAGGGCTGCTCTGGCCTGTGCTCTGCTCCCCCGCACTGGCGTCTGTGAGTTATGGGGACCCCTGGAGCCTGGGAGAGAGTCCATTAAAATATCTTCCGGCCCTAACCTGTTTGGCTCAGTGGATAGAGCATCGGCCTGCGGACTGAAGGGTCCCAGGTTCGATTCCGGTCAAGGGCATGTACCTTGGTTGTGGGCACATCCCCAGTAGAGGGCGTGCAGGAGGCAGCTGATTGATCTCTCTCATAGATGTTTCTAACTCTCTACCCCTCTCCTCTATCCCGCTCCCTTCCTCTCTGTAAAAAATCAATAAAATATATTTTTAAAAATCTATCTTCCGACATGTGCCGAGAACATTTTAACAACGGCTTCAACCAGGAAGCCTCTACTTGGCGTTAGCAACAATAGCTGGGAACCAGTGTTTGTTTCCATTCCTCAAGCATGTAATGCACATGACTTTTCCTCCCCTTCGGGGATAAGTTGAGCCTTTACCACTAGACAGCTTTGCCCTAGCCCAGGTTTCCTCTCTGTAAAAAATCAGTAAGATATATATATTTTTTTAAAAATCTTCCGACATGTGCCGAGAACATTTTAACAACGGTTTCAACCAGGAAGCCTCTAATTGGTGTTAGCAACAATAGCTGGGAACCAATGTCTGTTTACATTCCTCAAGCATGTAATGTACATGACTTTTCCTCCCCTTTGGGGATAAGTTGAGCCTTTACCACTAGACAGCTTTCCCTAGCCCAGGTACCTACAATTGGATAGGTTTTGACAAAAGGCTTGCTCCAGTTTTTCTTGGTAAACTAGCTTTGGTCATTATATTAGTCATGTAGTGCTGCGTAACAAATTACTCCAAAACCAGCAGCCTAAAATATTTACTTTATCATTTACTTTTTGTGGGTCAGTAGTTTGGAGCAGGTTGGCTGGTGGTTCTGGCTTGGGGGTCGGTCTCTCACGAGTTAAGATGACGGCTGGGGCTGCACGTTGTCCTATGAACTCTTCATTCTTCATCTGCTTCTGAGATGGCTCACACGGTGTCAAGGTGGGGCTGGTCATTGGCAGTTCTCACATCTGCACCACACAGACTTCACCTGAGGGCTGTGTGGGTGTCTTCATGTGGTGGCAGGTTCCCTCAGAGTATCCAAGAGAGAACAAGGTGCAAGTGGCCATGTCTTTTATGATCTAACCTCAGAAGTCACACCACCACATACTGTCCTATGGGTGGCGTGGACCAACGCTGATGCATTGGATCCTCAGGAGCCACCTTGGACACTGGGTGACCACAGCCATGCTGGAAGCACTTAAATGAGGTGTGAAGAGAATTCTGTTTTGATTTCTCTTGCAACAACCAGGCCATGAAGTGGAACAAGAAGCCATTTGAATGGTAATGGCACCTCCCTCCCCTTCTTAGTCTGAAACTGTAGTTGCCCTGCAAATAGCGATATCTGGGACAAATTCTCTTCTTTTTTCAATCTGTTAATACTTGCTTTATAAATTGAGGTGTTCCTCTGTTGGGTGCAAGAAGATTTATGAATGTTATGTCCTTGTTAGATTGATCTCTTTATCATTATGTAATGCCCTTTTCCTCTGATTAGTCTTTTTTTGTTGTTAATCCACACCTGAGGATTTTTTTTTTTCCCATTGATTTTGAGAGAGAGTGGAAGGGAGGAGTAGAGATAGAGAAACATTGATGTGTGAGAGACACATCGATTGGTTGCCTCCCACACAGGTCCCACTTGGGGCCTGGGATAAGCCTGCAGCCAACATATGTGCCCTTGATCGGAACAGAGCCCGAGACCCTTCAGTCTATGGGCCACAGTGTCTTTATTTTAAAAGTCTGAGTATAGCTTTCTTTGTCTTGTTTGCATGGAATATCTTTTTTTATCCCTTCACTTTCAGTCTGTATGTGTCCTTACATCTGAAGTGAGTCTCTTACAGGAAGCAATCATATAGATGGGTCTTGTTTTTGTTTGTTTTTTAAATCCATTCAGCCACTTTTAATTGGAGAATTCAGTCCATTGAAGTAATTATTGATATGTACATACTTACTGCCATTTTGTTCATTGTTTTCTGGCTGTCTTCTAGTACCTCTCTGTTCCTTTCTTCTCTTGTGCTCTTCCTCTGTGGTTTGATGACTTTTTGTAGTGGGGTATGTTTAGAGTCCTTTATCTTTTGTGGATATCTTGTAGGTTTTTGCTTTGTGATTACCTTGAGGCTTACATATAACAATTTATAATTGTAACAGTCTAAGTTGGTGACAACTTAAGTTTGAACATGTGCTAGACCTCTACATTTTTACTCCCCCTTTGATGTATTTGGTATGCCCTAAGTAATTATTGTAGTTATAGTAATTTTTACTCTTATCTTTTATCCTTCATACTAACTTTATAAATGATTAGCCCATTGCTTTTTATTGTATATTTACCTTTACTGGTGAGATTCATGCTTTCATATGTCTTCTTGTTACTTAACAGCACCCATTCTTTTCAGCTTAAAGAAGTCCTTTAAGGCTGGTTTAGTGGTGATTAGTTTTCTTGCCTGGAGTTTTTTTTCCCCTTAAGTTCTCTTTTTAATTTACATAATGTCCTCGAGGTCAGGAATGGGATAATTCCCTTTCATAACTAACTCATTAGTGGGCAGAGTAGGCACTCAGGTATATGATGGAGGGAAAATCCTTCGTAGACCACAGAGACAGCAGAGTTTGACAGAAAGATGGCTTTGAAGCCGGATCTTCTTTGGAACCATGACTATCATTAGCTTTGTGAGCTTGGATGAATTAAGCTGAGGGGAAAATCTATCCTGCGGAGCCATTTTTATCATAGTAAGTACTAATTACAAGCGTCCTTTGTGTACGCCTGCCCTTCTAGGACCTCTGATCATATGTCAGCTACAAGTTGAGGATGTTTACGGGTCTGCTGGATGGGTGGTCATGCAAGCTTCCTCTCAAAGACCAGTATTTAGAACTGTTACCTCCTCTCCAGTACTTGGAGCTAGCTCATATCCCACGTTTAAATCCTGTCTTATATATAATTCCTAGTCCATCAGTAGAGGTCTCAGCACAGTGTTTTCTGTCTGGGGTCTTTGGGTTCTCTGCTCTCAATGTATGCATATGACCAGTCCTTTAAACCCATTGCTAGTAGAGCAAGATGAAATAAAGATTAATTCTGTAGGGCATTTGGTTCTGCAGGTAGACTCAATGGGAACAGGTGGGATCAATCAGAAAAAAGGATTTGGGAGTCTGTACTTGGCCTCACTTGGAGAGTCTATGCAGGTAAACTTTCTCCCCTTTTACTTGATGGCTTCACATTGTGATATACCCAAATTACCCATTTTGGGGTGTAGTAATCTGGCAACTTTATGGATGTGTTCTAACATCCTGTTTTTCTACTTGACCTTCATAATTTATAGGATATGGGGCAACTTACTAGGTCTGGGGTTGGCAATCAGGTCCTACCTGTTTTTGTAGTTTTGTTGGAATATAGACACGCATTGATTTTACTGACTGGTATAGTAGCACAAAAGTAGCCCTAGTTAGAGTTTAGTTGCAACAGAGCCCACATGGCCTACAAGCCTAAAATATAAACTTCCCTTTCAGAAAAGTTTTCCATCTCCATATGAAGTTATTTGGGGCACTGGATCACATGACTGGGCATCAAGGTAAAGCACCTTGGAAGGTGAGCTTAGTTTATTTAACTGAAAGCTGGCCGAGGTAAGACGATTGTTCTCCAAAGCTGTAAATGCATAAAGACTGATCAGGAAGGATTTTCTACGTGGGGCTCCCCCGGGGCTTGGCCCGAGGGACGTGTAAGGAGAGCTTTCTAGGAACAGACCATACCCCGGCGTGAAGATGACCAGTTCAGTCCTAGGTGAGTGACTGGAACATGAAACAGCATCAGGAAAAGAAAGCGTCTTGTCAGACTTACTACGTGGGGACTAAGACAAAGGACACGTTTCCACTAGAACAGAAATAAAGTTTAATTCATTGAAAAGTGCAGCAGTGAACAGGGTCCTTTGAAGGGCACTTTCTAAGTCAAATGACTGAAATGACAGAACCAGGGCAGAGTAACTCCCAGAACAGATGATGCAAACACAGGAATTCACAAAATTCAGGGGGACATAGTGGTGGTAAAACTAAAGAACCCAAATATTCCCATCCAATTGCACTGGTGGATCAGGTGACATACTCTTTGCTTTCTCATAATAAGGATCCTGGGACAATTCTTTCATTAAAAAAAGCACTAGTCCTTCATTTAGACACTTAAAAATAAGTTTAAGAACATTTTTCATAGATTAACGTATAACTTCCATGGCTGTCATTACTATTTTGTACAAAAACCCTAGTGTTGTCAATTGTATTGACCAAAAAAATGTATTTTGCAACAGCACCATTGATTCAAAGATGTTCAAAAGGAGTTTCCTACTTGGTGATTGTATTTGAGGAAGAGCTTTGTAATAGGAACCTCTATAAGGCAAAATCTGTTCATTCCTATGTCCTCTGTTCATTACTAATGGGTAGTTCTCTACTCTGAAGGGCACCAACAGATAGGGAACTGGCCTTCTTAAAAGGGAAAATAATAAAATTTAATAAATCAGTACAATTAAGAGACAAAGCAAGCCTCCTGCAGTGGGTCCCTCGTACAGAGACATTGTGAAAAGTTCTGTGCATTTTGTAGCCTGCTAGCCTACACTAGCTGAAGCCTCGTAAGGAAAGGTGATTTCAGCCCAGATCCAGAATGACCAGGAGAGTCAAATCAGAGGGCACTCAACAGTCAGTCAGCTTGGAAATGCAACAACAGAGAGGCCTCACTGTGTCCCCATCACCCAAACAGAAGCTGCTGGTGGTGATGGGTATGTCGCCAGCTGACTTGTGTGTGTCACTCTATGCATCATAAAGTGAATTAATTGAATAATATGACATCACAGTACAAGACCTGGTAAGAGTCGGTTTCTTTTTATTCGGGAATAGTTATGGCCAACTTTCATTAATGTGGAAGTTGACTGAGAAATGTTAAGAATCAAAACTGTAGAATGAAGCCGAAACCCATATTCCACATTGTAGTTTGCTTTTAGTTACAAATTTTTATAATTTCACAGCAGCGGTGTCCATTTCGTTTGCCAATTTCACCTCTAAATACCACCAGTTAATGGACTGCGTGAGGTAAAGGAATAAACCCAATGGCTATCTGGGATTCTGATAGGAAAGCTGCTTACGACCACGTCTTACAAAGTGCTTAACGCTCAGCCTACGACCCTAAATAAAGCTAAATCACTATTGCCTGAGTTGAACAGGTTACAAACCACAGCTTTTCCTCCTTCCTTGCTGTCCCACCACTGATTAACCTTCTTGTGAAGAAAATGGTGGAAATGCGCTTGAGTCAAGAAACAAAAATATGTAAGTTCTAAATAGTGAGGAAATCTCAACAAGATCTGGTTTTAATGAGAATAGTGAATGGGGCCCAAATTACACAAGACTCCACAAACTGTGGAAAAACTAAGCTGTGCATCAACTATAAAAATTTTATATCTTAACAAATGAACAGATAGAGTGTCAGCAAAATGCAGAGAGAGTCAAAACAACTGCGGCCCGGGACTGAAACCCAGACTCCCTGCTGGTCAGGCACTTACTGCATCCCAACGCGGGCCCTTCCACCTGTCAACCCGAGTGCCCCTCTCCAGAAGGCCCTCAAACACACCCTTCTCCACCCCGGTGTTACCTGAGCCTCCACATGGTGAGCAGCCCCTGGAAAACAGATGGCTCTCACCTTCGAAAACTACCTGCAATGAGCCTTTACCAAAAGCTTCTGTTCTAGCTCGGTGTGTGCCAGTCCAGACCCAAAAAATGAACAGAGCTTGGTTGACATGTTTTGAATTTGCGACTTATCACATCGTGATGGGTAGATACTATAAACAACATATTTCTGCTACTCTGAAAGCAATGGTACTTGTTCTTAATTAGATGATTTAGTTCTGATAGTTATTCTTCAAGCCATGTGACGTTAGTACTTTTTGAGAGTCAAGTGCTCAATCTGAAATGCTATGCAGGTCCTTTCATTTTTAGGTCATGCTGTATACCAAACACATTTTTCTGAACGGATTTACAAATTCAGACTTTGACCACCTGGGGAGCGACCCCAGAACAGAAAGGGTATGACGAGAACACAGACCTCAGGAGCAGTCGTGTCAGCTGAATGGAGGGACTGGGGATGGCTGCTCCTGACAGACGGGCAGCGTTCACAGTTTAACACATTGCACAGGAAGGTAGGCTGATTGGGGTGCTTTTCAAAACAGGACTTACAAGCCAGTCCCGAAACTCTTCCAGGCGTGGTCTTGAAGACTAGCTACAGACACCTACTACACTCACTTCATCAGACAGGTGTGCAGAGGTCTCTACAGAAGGTGTTTTGAAAACCTTCGAGTCCTGCCGCCACTGTAATTGTTGAACATGAGACGAGGGTCAAACCTGTATCTGGGGAGAAGTAAAAGGATGTCACATTACCTGTAGTTGCCAGGACCTCACTCCAAATGCTACCTGGAAAGGAGGGCAGGAAGGGATAGCAACAGACCAATTAAGTCACCGGACGGGAATCTAGTGGCACAATATGGGAGGACTTTTAATAAGTGCATTTCCATCGCAAGTCAACCACACAAAACGGGAGAGGAGAGAAGAAACAGAGGAAGGTTAATCTGAGAAGGCATTAGGAAGGAGGCAAGATTTGTTTTTTAGGGGGGAAGGGGAGATCCCTAAGGTATAAAGCAGCCTGATGGATGAGTCTAGCCCTTGCTGAAGGCCCCACCAGCAGTTGCAAAGCCCTGAAGCCTTTCTTTTACAATTAAGATGCAGACTGTGGTGGGTAAGACCACAGGTGTGTACTTCAGACATGAGTTTGAATCTGGTTCATTATGAGGCAAGTCATTAACCCCTCTGGCCACCAATAAAACAGTAAGGCAATTTGTATATACAATGTCTGGCACATAAAAGAACTTATTTTACCACCCATGGGGAAGTTAGAGTGAATGCCAAATGGTAACTTGAGCTGAGACTTGGTAAACATAAAGAATATAGGTGAAGGCTAGAAACAACATTGTCTTTTACTTTTATCTGCTGTCTTTTAGGACACACTAATTCTTACTATTATTTTAGAGCAGGGGCTGGCCTTTTTTTCCCCCCCTATAAAGGGGCAGATAAATATTTTAGTGTTTGTGGGCCATACAATCTCTGTCCCAACTATTCAATGTTACTGAAGTGTAAAAGCAGCCGCACACAATACATAAATGAATGTGTGTGCCTGTGTTCTAACAGGGTGGCTAGATTGGGCCTGTGGGATTCTATAGGCCTAAATGTTTGTTAGGAGAGACTAGCCTATGGCTAAGGAATTTAAAAGAAAATGGGTTCAAAAACTGGAATCCCGTTTCCCTACGCATTCACATACATTCCTCCTCTCTAATTTGGACTGAAGAACCACTTCATGTGACGATGGCTAAATAACATCACCGCTTTTCATTGGCTTAAGACAGCATTCTTCCCTCTCTCCTACAATTAGGCTACAAGAACTGAAATAATCCTTTCCCAGTGAAAGTTTAATTCTGTAATTTTCAAGCAAAAGATAACAGGATTTGCCATAGGCGGCTCAGAGGTATGTATGCTGAGCCCAGTGTTCGTGGTGAAAAGTTACTGCTCAAGAGGAATGAGAGGAAGGAATGGACCTGAGTAGGTGGTAAACATCTTTCCTACCTTTGTATACTGCAGGGGCGTACACATTTCAACATGAGAGTTCATGCCTTCTGTTTCATTGTCTGTGTTTAATACATTACATTTACTGGCAAGTATTCACGTTTCTGTAATCGGGGTTTCTGAGAAATGAAATGAAGGCATATGCTCTCGAAGTGCTAGGGAACAGGGTAGGACTTGGTCAGTTACTCTACAGACGCCCCAGGGGTCGCCAGTGGTGCCTTGACAAGAATCCCAGCCAGGAGGGGAGGCAGAGGAGCCCCAGCGGCGAGGAGCAGGGCTACACCTCTCAAGCATCGACTGGCACAAAGAGAAAGTTTCAAACAGCGTGTTCTCCTGGCACACGGGCTGATGCACTGAGCCACGATGTTCCCACTCTAAAGCAGGAGCATGGGAACAGCACAGCTCACAGCGAAAGAGACCCCTTGGGCTCCCGCTGCCTTCAGGAACAGCAGACTGCTAGAGCCAACTTGGCAAAGTCACTGAAGAAAATGGAAACTTACCCGGGGTCAAAAACCCCTGGAGTGCGACAGGCTGGTCCAGAACAGGACTGCAGCATCATCAGCCGATAGTTCATCTTTCCTAGAAGCTCCGGGTCGATACTTTTAGCAATGTTAGTGATTTGGTGCGGGTCTGCAGTCAGGTTATAGACTTCTACAAACACCTACAGGCAATGAAAGGATGGAGGAAAGAAATACTCATGTGAATTATTCCTAAATGGGGAAGACGGAGACAGCACCCAAGGCCCAGGAAAGTATCATCTGGTCTCAAGATCCTCAAAGAAAACAAAGACCCTTAAAGCCCAAGGGTATCCATGAGACAGTGGAGCATCTGCCGGGGGTTAAACTGCCTTGGTCGATGGCCCACGTGCTGGAAAGGGGCCCTTTACGGGCAGAGTCAGGAGGGGGTGGTTATTACTTTCTGTAACTAAAGCAGACAGCAGAAGGCATGACCTTCAAATGCAGGGTCTCAGAAACTAGACTTAGGAATGAAGTTACTGAGAGGGAGCTGACATTTGAAGGTTTAAATTTTTGCCTTAGAATTGTGAAGATTCAAATGAGAATAGGAAAGTACTCTAACCTGTGTTACACAAATGTTAGAAAAGCAGTGTTGCTGAAAGATACAATACCATTATTTCTATTGTTAGACATGTCTAATAGCACTATTTCCCTCCAATCTGTACTTTGTTCTCCAAATTGGAGTCAAGTGATAGACTAGATGGCAGGCAGAATTTGCCTATAATGGTTTCAAGTGGCTGCCCTTAGACTATAATAATAAAAGCATAATATGCTAATTAGACCTGACGTCCAGAAAACTGGGCTGCGAGGGAAGCCTGGGTGCCAGAGGGAACCGGTGCCAGCAGCCGGGGGAAGGAAGGCCTACTCTTGCACGAATTTCTGCATCGGGCCTCTAGTCACTTATAAAGTACTTACGTGGGTAGATTATGGGGGAAGAGGAACAGGAATTGAGTTGGAAGGGAGCTCTCTTGCCTGTTTAAAATGCTTAAGAGCTACATGGAAATGGCGAGTGAGTCAGCTTCTGAGAAACGTGGTGAGTGTTGGCTCCACATGGCCCAATGTGGGGAGCCAGCTGGCATAGGTTAGCACCTTCTGATAAGTGTATGAAACCACAGGGACGTGTCCACGTGGTCCTTCAGACCGTCCATGCTGATCTGTTTGAGCAGCACAGTACTGTGCTGTGGTCGGGACAGTTTCTGACCAAGTTGAGGTGTCTGACTCTCAGCCCCCCCAGGTAGGGAAGCCGCATCTGAAAAAGTGACCTGCACATTTAAAGTGTGTTTGGGTGGTGGCAGGAGTGGAGAGAGCCTCATCAGAACGGGCACAGAGCAGTGAAGAATGGCCTGGGAATTCCGATTCCTTCGCTGAAGGAAACCTAAGTGGAAGTACAGAGAAGAAACACATCTTCCCTAGAGAGCACCCTTGGAACTGCTCTTCGCCCACCAAGTGCAGCCAACAAAGCGCTGGCAAGACATGGGGGAGGCAGCAGGGCACCTTACCTCCTGGTCGTCAAACTCGCAGTACTGTAAGTTCCACCGTGCTGACATGGTCCGCACACAGGCATACGTGTTGTTATAAGCATCTTCACACACACAGTCTGGGAAACATTGCTGTTGGGATATTTAAAAAGTAAAATGAAGATAGTCATTCTATAGTAACTACCTGCCTACTGGGGCAACCAAGTTGGCTTAAACCAGACATACAAGTGGACAGAAATTAGGAAACTTTCCACGGAGATATAAATCAAAAATAGATGTGCAGCTTTTTCCTTACTGATGTGATGGCTAACTTGACTAAGGGACATGGCCATGGTGGTTCTGTCTGTAGACTGTTGCCATCCCTGCCTGCACATCTCCTGACAAGAATTAGCTGTAATGGGCCCCTGTAAAATGTACGGTTGGTAAGGAGACGAGACCAATACTCAAATGAGTCACTTCTAAGGTATATTAGGAACTGCCATGCTAAAAGTTGGGGGAAAAAGCTAAAATGAGCTTTGTGGAATCATCAGCAGGTACATTATTTGAGTGTTCTTATCACCAAATGGGACTTAATTCAAGTCTTCCATACCAACTTTTGGTTGGTTCTTAACTATATCGAACACCTTGGTGTTAGAAGAGTCAACTCAAATGGAAGCCTATTTCCCATTCTCCAACGTGAGGCCAACATCACCGTGACCACCTTCATGACCAGCCTGGCTGCCACCAGTGCAAGACACTCATGATGGCACGGTTAAAGGTGGGAGCCCATCTCTTTGTTGGATGCCATGGATTATCTCCCTAACAAAAAACAGTACCATTATTGGGAAGGGTAGGAAAACCGGAAGGGGTATCGATTAATAAGGTTAAGAATATTGGCTGATACATGTACTTGTTACAATAATTGGAAGAATTTGAAGTGCAGATTCTGACAACAGGTCAGCAGCATCATTTTCATGATTTTTTTCCTTATTTTTCAGGATTATTGATTTATCTTTGTGCATCTACTGATCTTCCAGTCAAGTGACAAAGTGAAGTGACAGAGAAGCAGGACTCAGATTATGGGTTTCAGCACTTGCTACGTCTACACCAGTGTCCTGCCGAGCTTCAGTGAGGAAGTTGTCCAAGCCAACTCAAACTATTACTCACAGATACTCCAGGACTCAGGGAAGGACATGTTGGGTCAGTGACATTACGACCTTCTCCTTGATATTCCACCAGGACGTCCGATCGCCAAGTCACATTACTGACGCCTGTCTAGAAGAGCAAAAGTGGTTCCCGTGAGGCATAGAGACTGTGAGCAGGACCACAAAGTTATTTATTCTACTGCTAAAGGGGCCTTGGCAGTCAAAACTAATTGGAGTGATTAAAACTGATACATATGAAGGCTACTGAGGATCTTCTAGAGCAGCGGTTGTTGTGGGCCACCAGTTGCCGACCACTGCTCCGAAGGTTTCCTTAAACCAGCGGTCGCCAACCTTTTGGACCTCACGGACCACTGGTTGCCAACCGCTGTTCTAGAGCCTTTGCAAGTGATGGTCAAGTGCTTTGAGCATTCTATAGTTCCCACAACTACTGTGAGGCAGGCAGGAATGGAAACCAGCAAAGTCGCTAAGCAAGAATTAGTCACAGTTCAAGGTGCTGAAATCCAGGTTAGAATAAACAGTCCTGTCCATAAACTCTGTGTGAGAACTATTCTCAGCTCATACTAAGAAATGCATAGCTTCATACACACAAGGACAAGAACTCACAAATATTCAACAGTGCTGTGCTAAGGAAGGTAATAGGTTCAACGGACTTGCTGGTCAGAATGAAGATACCATACATACATGAACTTGTGGGGAGGGGAGAATCCCCCCATGTCAGTTCTTACAGCTGGACTAGTAAAACAAGAGGGCAAAACAAGACCCAAACTAGGTATGTTGTTTAGGGATATATACATAATAACCCTAAAAAAATAAAAGCCAGAGAATGATAACCATGAAAACCAGAAAGTGATCACTCTCATGGGGCAGCTGAGGGAGCATATAGGTAGAGGTACCAGTATTAGGAATATGAGTTCTTAAATGACATGATGGGTTCATGGTATTTCTTGTGTTTCATAACTAATATGAGTTACACACATTCTTTTCTATGAATCATATTCTACCTAATACACTGTAATAGATTCAGAAAAATCAATGAGTAAGATTTGAGTCACTATAAATGCCTAAATCATTTTAAGACCAATCTTTCCAAACTTGTCTATGCTTAAACATATTAAAACACATTTTTAATGAACAACAGATGCTGTTGTGAAACCTCCTTTTCTCTCTATAGCATGGAATAGACATCTTTCCAAGTCAATGTATACAGATCTATACCATGTAGCAGGGGTCCTCAAACTTTTTAAACAGGGGGCCAGTTCACTGTCCCTCAGACCGTTGGAGGGCCAGACTATAGTTTAAAAAAAAAACTATGAACAAATTCCTATGCACACTGCACATATCTTATTTTGAAGTGAAAAAAAACAAAATGGGAACAAATACAATATTTGTATTTGCATGTGGCCTGCGGGCCGTAGTTTGAGGACCCCTGCTATTAGTTTAATATTCTATTGTTTAGTGGTGCAACAATTTAACCAATACCCTATTGGCTATTTAGGTTTTCTGTTTTCTTCTATTAACACTACACGTACATTTCTTATAGTTAGCTCCGTACAGTGCTAGGTACATAGTAGGTACTTGAAAGAGTTTTGTTTTCTTAGAACAAATTCCCAGACAGAACTGCTTAATGCAGCGGTTCTCAACCTGTGGGTCGCAATCCCTTTGGCTGTCGAACGACCCTTTCACAGGGGTCGCCTAAGACCATCCTGCATATCAGATATTTACATTACGATTCATAACAGTAGCAACATTACAGTTATGAAGTAGCAACAAAAATAATTTTATGGTTGGGTCACAACATGAGGAACTGTATTTAAAGGGCCAGAAGGTTGAGAACCACTGGCTTAATGTGTGTATTCTGAAGTGATGTGTCTTGTTACATTAGCCTTCCGGTAGCTTATACTGACTGCACTTTTATGAACAGAGTCTGGGTAGTTTCCATTTTCTCAGACTTCTGCAAATAGTGGGTATCCGGGCTAGTTCTGCAGGCAATGAAAGTCTCATTCAGTTAAGCATTGCTTTGATCAGCACTGATGCAATCTTTTCGCACTTTGACTATTTCTAATTCCTCTGTGAGTTAACCAGTTACTTCTTTTGTCCATTTTTCTACTGGAATACTAATCTTTGCTTTCTAAAAACTCTTCCTTTAGGACTTACTACCATTTTTCACTTTTGTTGCAAATATCTTCCCAATTGTCACCTGTCTTAATTTTGTTTATAATGGTTTTTGGGGGGAGGAGGTGGGAAGTAGGGAGAATATAGAACTCTGTTTATCTGTGTTTCGATCCTTCTTTTTTAAAAAAAACTCTTTTCCCCAAATTTAATAGTTTTTAAGTTTAAATTTATACAACCTGGAATTTATTTCAGAGTCTTGGCTCAAGCCTGATTGAGGGCTTTATACTCACCAAAATAGGCAATAAAGACATCCCATCCATCTGGGTCTTATTCAGGTTGTAGCCAGCGATGTCCAAAATAGTAGGACCCAAGTCAATGTTGGCAACGAGCATCTATGGGAATGAGACAAAGAAACAAGTTTTCCTTTTCTATCTGTAATGTCTTCCCCTACCTCACCATGACACAAACAGCATTTACTATTATCTTTTGTATAGCCCATATTTACTTAGGTCTTACTGATTTATATATTCAAATGTAATTATAGTGATTTAAAAAACAAAGGCTTATAAGGCTTATAATATATGCCCCTGGGAAGTTATATATTTATTCCACACATAGTGTTGTTGTGCAAAACATTTTTAAAAACTCATTTGGGATTGCCTAGAGTCTGTTATGAATCATGAGAAAAATGTGGGTCTATTTTATACAAAGTGTTTTCCAACTTGATTCTTATTAGTTCACTAAATTTAACTTCAAATTGACTCCTGACAATTTTGAAAGCCTGAAAGGTTGAATGCTTACCACCAAGGAGGATATTAGCTCTTTTTATAGTTTTTTAAAGTGACAACGCTGCTAAAAAATGTTTCAATAGGCTTTGAAGACAGCAGAAAACTTATTCCAACAGTACACCAAAAAGTCTCCTTAAAGAGCGCAAAACTTATTTTAAACATTCTTGGTATTAAAGATACTGTCCTGCATTTATACCTCTCCTTATTTCCTTGATTTATTAGACTATTTTCCTTCTGTATACAATGCCTCTTCAGGACCTAACCCAGCACAGTCCAAATAGAAACATAATAGGACCACAAATGTAATTTAAAAATATCTAGTGAGCACATTTAAGTAAAAAGGAAAAAGGTGAAATTCAGTGTATATATTTCATTTAACCCAATACATAAAAATATTGCTATTTCAACATGTAAGCAATACAAAAAAATTAATGATTTTACTTTTTTTTTTTTTAACCAAGTCTGTGAAATCTGGTATTTAAAATATTATAACACATCTCAAATAGTCTATCTTTGGCTCAACAGCCAATGTGGCTGGTAGCTATTACAAGTGGACAGTGCAGGCCTGGATAGAACTAAGCACACACCTAGAAGTCACTTTGCTCACAGGTTAGGAAAGCTTTCGAGTCGTGATGACAACCCACCAGGGAAACAAGGAGAACTGATGCCTACTGAGCACCTGTTCTGTGCCAGTACTTAGAGTTTATCCTCGTTTAATCCTCACCACAATCCTGTGATGCAGTACTTCCCCCGCATTTTACAGATGAGGAAATCAAAGAGAAGAAACTGAAACAAATTCAACAGCTTGTAACTCAGAGGAAATTACAGTGTTCAAAATTATTGAGAAAACTTAGATCGTTTTAGGGGAGGCCAAAGAGGGATTAAAAAAACAACCTATTAGCCCTGGTACATTTAATTTAAAAACAAAACCGAAAGTACAGACACAAAAGGCAAGAAAACACCTTCTGATCATTGTTCATCCTGGCTCTGAAGCATTAGTGTAACCGCGGCTGTCAGAAATGACCGCGCAGCGGCAGGCAGCTCAAGGAAAAGGCAATCCATGTGCTACTGAGAAAAACCCACAGCAATGTCTCTAGGGATTATATCAGACCTGGGTTAGTGAGGTGGTACCTAGGTCCAAGTCCCTAGGCAGACTGGAAGCCTGGAATATGGTCAACAAGAGTGGGCATGAACAGAAAGAAAACATGTCTGGAAAGGAGAGACCAGCAGACACATGACCTCCAGAATCAGATCAAGGTAATAGGACCCTGCCTTGTGACTAACATATGAATGAAGCGAAGCCAAGTCCCCAGGTATTACTAATATGTCCAAGGCAGTTTTATAAGAAAAGAAAAGGGGTAAACACCAAAATAGCAAAACCCACAGAGATATAAAATGGTGACTGCCAGTTTCACCAGGAATGAAGGGCCATCAGCTGTATGACAGGAGGCTCCCAGAGTGGTTTGCTCCATGGGAGAAAGGTCTGTAAGTTCCAGTACTAGTCAAATGGCACAAATACCATATACACTACCCCAGGACCTTTCCAGATAGCTACAATGATCTCTTCTAGGGTTTTGTTTGACTTAGAAAGTAAGCAGAGTCTCAAAATTAGCATATTATATCAGGAGACAGGAGACTTTTAGTGGATACTGAGTATGAGTGAAGAATTTACCTGAGAATTATTATCTATCTCTGTTTTTATACAACCTAGAATTAGATAGATACTATGGGTCCATCACTGTAATGACTTCTAAAAACATTAGCATTTTAAGTTCCTAAAATGGTACGGATATTCCTCAATTTACGACAGGGTGACGTCCTGAAAAACACATCATAAATTGAAAATATCGTAAGTCAACAATGCATTTAATATGCCTAACGTACCAAACATCATAGCTTAGCCTAGATGGTTTCAACTGAATGCGTATTTTGTATCACCATCATAAAGTAAGAAAATTGTAAGTCAGAACACTAATTCAGGGACTGCCAGTACTGCTTTTATCCCTATGTATAAACTCAAAGATTCACTTATGGATTGAAATGGAAAAAACCTGGACAAGATCAAAAGTAGATTATTTCATAAATCATAGCCTCTCAGTTTGGGAATGTTCTTGGGATTTAATTATACAGACATTCTGATCAAATAAAGGCCCCTGGAAAGCTCTAGGGCAGGGCCTCAAGGGCATCATGCCTTGAAAGGGCGTCTTTCTTTGTTCTGGAAGATCGACAGTGCTGCAGAATCAATGAGAAGAGTAACAGGGCTCTCAGGAGGAAACCTCGGGTTGGGTTTCCAAACAGACATTTAAGCCCCGATGTTAAAGAATTCATATACGGCCATCAAAGAAGAGACAAACACATCAGAGAGCACCCAAATCCACTTAGTGGAAAGCACTGGAACAGCGCAGGCAGAGAACTCCCCACATGTTGGGCTGCTCCATCTGGATGTGCCCCTCAGCTTCTCCAACAAGGAAGAAGCCAGGGCGTCCTCTAGTTGCACTGAACATCCTCCCACCTTCACACAGGGAAACCAATGCTTATTTTGTCCAAAGTCTTAAAGCCCGTATGTGGTTTTCCTGATGCCCGGTTCAGTTCTATTTCCCTTGGATCATGCTGGCCATGTTAGTTTTCCTACAAACCATTTCCTGTCTTAAAACCCTTTTAAAGAAATTCTACCACCCAATAAAAGCTAGGTTAATTTCTAGCAAGAGAGGAAAACCTCAACAGCCAGTCTTGAAAAATCACACATACTACCTGCCCCTGCTCTCCTGAACAGCCATTACAAAGCTAAATCCACTGGTCACATGTGCCCTTTTTTCACCATCAGGCTGTTGACAGCTCAGTTCATTATGCAGAACAACTGGCACTGAGACAACCGTGCTGCCAACACATGATGAATCACCCACCGTCTCTGACATTCTCTGCGCAGGATGAAAGCCGGGCATTTCATGCTTCTCAAACTACAACTGTCAGCACAGTAGGTGAAAAATGGATTTTGAGAACAGGCACAGTTCATTTTCAGTCCTGGTCTGCCACTTACTAAGTGACCTTGGTAATATCCATTCAACTAACTCAGGTGTCCCCCAATGTTAAGAGTTGGGTATTCTAAGTTTAGATAGTGCCTCTTTTCTAGGAAATCCTAGAGTGAAAAAGACAAACTCAGTAGGGTGTGGTAGGTGTGAGGCCAGGAACAAGGGAAGGTCACCTACCTTATGTGGGGGCAGGGGTACTGACCTCCCAGAGGGAACCCCTAAAGGACAATTAACGTAGCCTGGTCAAAGGGCATGAGATGGGCATTCCAGACGGAAGGAACAGTCAGTCAAAGATAGGCAAGGAGGTGAGAGAAGTGGTTCACTTAGTAAGTGAAAGCAGTTCAGTCCCTGAACAAGCCAAGCTCATTCTCACGTCTCTACCTTCACATTTACGGTTCTGCCAGAACACCCTCCCACAGATCTCTGTATGACTAAATCCTCTCAACACCCCGGCCTCTGCTCTGACAACTGCTTTCACTGACAGTTGCAGCTCCAGTATCTGGCTCTCCCTGACAGGAAGTTAAGGATGGTCTTCCCGGATTGCTCACTGCTGTGTACCCAAGGTTCCTGGCACAGTGTGCTGGCACAATGTACTTCATAAACGCTTGTTGTCTGAGCTACAGTGTAACTGTTAAGTGCATGGACTCTGGAATCAGACTGACCAAATTCAAATACAGGGCTCTGATATATTTTAGCTCCATGATCTTGGGCAAACCACTTAAACTCTGTACCTCAGTTTCCTCATTTGTAAAACGGGGCTATTAGTATCTATACCTCATAAGACTGTGAAGGTTAAATGAGTTGATACAGGTAATACATTTAGAATAGCACTTGTCACATACTAAGCAGACAGTAGAGGCTAGCTGTTATTGTTAAAATGGCTTCCTAGGAAGCAGGCTTCATTTACACTGCTTAGAGAGGGTGAAATTTCTAATTTTAACACTTAGATGGCACTGCTGACTTGAAGAAAAAAGGACCAGTTTGTTCCATGGGCAGCTGGCTGACACACTGCACTCTGCTCTCGCTTAGCCTCCTTCCCCGCACTGGTCAGAAAGGGCCCTGCAGCCCTGCTCCTTGGAAAGGCACACAGCTGCTAACATTTTCCTCAATCAGCGCCCAGCACCAAGATCAATAAAACGCTTTTAAGATTGAATGGTCTTCCAAACTTGCCTATCTCCTTTGTAAGAAGAGGCCTCTTTAGAGGGTATTGAATTTGCAGTGGGAAGTGACTGGCTTAAGGAATATGGATCTTAGGAGAAAAAGAAAACTCAAAGGCAATTATGAAGGCCATTTTACCTTTCAGAGAGAATTTTAACAGAATTCCATCAGGAGCATTGTAAAAGAAAATAAGTGAATGGCAGACATTTAAACAAAATAAACATTAAACTCCCAAACTAAAGTATACCCAGAAAGTCTGGCCCGTTTTCCAACTTTAGCTTACATAATGTATTTGCTCATTTTCTTCTGTCTCACAGAATACTAAAATCGTCAATCAGGAAAGAGAGAAGACATAGTAATAGAGTCTGTCAATTTTTACCTTCCGGCATTAGACCAGAGTTTTGAATCAAGGTGCCT